CAGGTGAGGGGGCGCCCGACCCAAGGTCAGCGGGCGGGGGGGCGGGATCAGGGGCCATCCCGGCTCTGTCCCCGGCGATCACCGAGAAGGGCGTGCGACCTGGCGGGGACCCCGCCCTGCCCTGAACCGGCCCAGGACAGGCCGCGCCGGAGCGGATGCAAGGGGCGCCTTGGGAGATCAAGGCACCCGACTCGGGCCTCGCACTGCGCTGGAGAGCGTCACAGGGCTTCCTCCATTACCCCTCCAACCTCCCCTCCCCGCACAGATGGGCTCGCTGGAGACAGTGACAGCCTTCTCCAAATCCAGTATGTGACGCCCCGCCCCCTGCCCAGCCAGATTAGGGGGTTCTCCGCTGAGTAAAAGGATTTCTGGCCTGGCCTCCCCTGCTCTTCCTGCTTGAATCCTCAACGCTGCCCAGGCGAGCCCCTGCTCACGAGTCAGCATCTAGTGGGTGTCCGTGCGGGCAGCAGTCCCCTGAGTCTTGAGGAGATCAAGAGCCTGCTCTGTTTGAAAGGCCTTTGCCACTGGAAGGTAGGCGGGCGCCCTGGGCCAAGTCTTTTGCTCAGGGAAGTGGATCCTGGGGGCTCACAGTATGCCCCCGAGTTCTCGCGGTTCTCCACACACCTTCGGAGACATCTGGGAACTGCCTCTGCCTGGGCCAAAGCGATTCCATTAAAACTTTTGCTGTGCCTACTTTTTTTTTTTGGCGGTACGCGGGCCTCTCACTGCTGTGGCCTCTCCCGTCGCGGAGCACAGGCTCCGGACGCGCAGGCTCAGCGGCCACGTCCCACGGGCCCAGCCGCCCCCGGACCGGGGCACGAACCCGCGCCCCCCCGCATCAGCGGGCGGACTCCCATCCACCGTGCCACCAGGGAAGCCCTGCTGTGCCTGCTTCTCTTCAGTGATCTTAAATAATCATGTGAGTTACAATTTAGAGCAAGATTTAAACAAACACCAAGGCCACTTGGTGTCTTTCCACATGACTCACTCTCCTAATAGGGAGACCAGGTGAACAGGCAGGTGTTCAGAGCAGGGACCATTTGAGGTGGGGCTGGAGGCTAGCTGATAGCACACCCTCAGCCCTACCATCCATGGCTTCAGACTGGCTGGCTTCTCAGCCCAGGTCCCCACCTTTACAACTGGACTCATTGTGCCTTGAACTAGACCCAGGCTTTCTCCTCTCTAGGATCACAGCTGCATGTGTATAAACCCCAAAACACTACACACTCCTTCACAGCCCAGGAGATCAGTGTTCCCAGAGCCTACTTAGGAAACTACACTAAAACCCAGTTAGTAGCCCAAGGCCCCTCTTTCACACCCCAGCCATTCCAGGGCCCCACCTACCCCCAAAGACAGATGCACCTTTCTCGGAGCCAGCATGGAGAACACAGTCCCACAGCTTCTGAACTGGCTTTCCTATTTGTCTCATCCCTCAATTGTCTAACAGTTTCCCTGAGGAAAAGCTCTAATTCTAGCTAAGCTGTTCTACCAACCCCCACCCCCAGGAGGGCAGGGCCAGAGGCTGGACAAAACTGTGCCTGTGGCTGGCTGGTGGCGCCCCTGAGACCAGTTGTGCTCATGTCCTCCATCAGTTCACAACAGGTGAATCCCAGGGTTGGGGTCATAGCATGAGTTCTAGAGACAAAAATGACTAGAGTAAACCCTGGGTCAAGGTTAGGTGAGGGCAGGGACGGACACTAGCAGCGTGGAGCCTTGGGCAGAGTTGGGATGGGGAGAGAAGTGGGTTGGGGTGGTGTAGGCGCTCCTTCTGTGGCCTGGGTGGCAAGACGGAGGACATGAGAAATTCTAAACCGAAACCTGATGCCCCAGATCTTCATGCTTTTTTATAAAAGAACGGAGTGAACGTTTTATCAGTTTCTTGAACTAATTTCAAACTTCAAAAATCAGACACGGTGTGTACCTCCATCCGTGCTTTTCACTGGCTCTCAAATGTTAGGGACAGGCCTGACAACCTGTGTTTCAAGAGGCACATCCCATCGGGGCCAGACTGTAGGGAGGCTGCTGAGAAGGCTGCAACTTCGTGGCCTGCGGCCGGTCCCACAAGAGATGGCCCCAGGGGCGCCTGCACTGCTGCTGCTGCTGCTGTCGCTGCTGTCACTGCCGGGTCTCCCGCCTCACGCTGCCGGCTGCCCTGTGGCCTGCCGCTGCTACAGCGCCACGGTGGAGTGCGGCGCCCTGCGGCTGCGCCTGGTCCCGTCCGGAATCCCGCCCGGGACGCAGGTGGGCACCGAGTGGGGCTGCGAGCCAGGGGTGCCCGTGACATGCAGGGATGGTGTGTGAGCCTCCCGGTGGGTGAATGGGGCGCCCTAGGGAAAAGAGAGACGCCCCCCTCAGCGGGGTAAACGCCCTCCCTCCCTCCTGGCACAGACGCTGTTCCTGCAGGACAACAGCATCGCGCGCCTGGAGCCGGGCACCCTGGCACCCCTCGCCTCCCTGCGTCGACTCTACCTGCACAACAACAGCCTGCGCGCCCTGGAGCCAGGCGCCTTCCGTGCGCAGTCGCGCCTGCTGGAGCTGGCGCTCACCGGCAACCAGCTGCGCGGCTTGCGCGTTGGCGCTTTCGCGGGTCTGGCCCAACTGCGCGTGCTCTACCTAGCTGGCAACCAGCTGGTACAGCTGCTGGATTTCACCTTCCTACACTTGCAGGTGAGGGGGGAGGAGTGGGCAAGAAGGGCAAGAGGTCCTCCTGCACTGTCACCTGCCTTACCGGGCTGGAGTAGTGAAGGGGAGAAAAGGCAGCCCTGTCTAGCCTGGTAAGAAGGGGACATGTCCCTCAGGGCCCCTTTCCCTGATGACCTACTGTCCCTGCTTCAGCGACTGCAGGAGCTGCACCTGCAGGAAAACAGCATCGAGCTGCTGGAGGACCAGGCCCTGGCCGGGCTCTCCTCACTGGCACTGCTGGACCTCAGCAGGA